TGTCGGGCGGCCGGGTCCTGGAGGAGAGCGCGGAGTACGCGGGGCGGCTGTCGCTGGGGGGGGACGGGGCCCTGTCCATCAGCAGGGTGACAATGCAGGATGCCAAGACCTTCATCTGCCAGGTGGTGACAGACAGCCACGGCACGGCTGAGAACCACACCGAGCTCTATGTGTACAGTGAGTGGTGGGGATGGAGGGATGGAGAGCAGCCTGGCCCTGCAGCTGCTCTGCGGGGCTGGAGTGGAGGCCCATCCCATCCCATATCCCATCCCTCCTCATCCCATCCCTCCTCATCCCATCCCTCCTCATCCCATCCCTCCTCATCCCATCCCTCCTCATCCCATCCCTCCTCATCCCATCCCTCCTCATCCCATCCCTCCTCATCCCATCCCTCCTCATCCCATCCCTCCTCATCCCATCCCTCCTCATCCCATCCCTCCTCATCCCATCCCTCCTCATCCCATCCCTCCTCATCCCATCCCTCCTCATCCCATCCCTCCTCATCCCATCCCTCCTCATCCCATCCCTCCTCATCCCATCCCTCCTCATCCCATCCCTCCTCATCCCATCCCTCCTCATCCCATCCCTCCTCATCCCATCCCTCCTCATCCCATCCCTCCTCATCCCATCCCTCCTCATCCCATCCCTCCTCATCCCATCCCTCCTCATCCCATCCCTCCTCATTCCATCCCTCCTCATCCCATCCCTCCTCATCCCATCCCTCCTCATCCCATCCCTCCTCATCCCATCCCTCCTCATCCCATCCCTCCTCATCCCATCCCTCCTCATCCCATCCCATCCCATCCCTCCTCATCCCATCCCACCCCTCCTCATCCCATCTCATCCCTCCTCATCCCATCCCCTCCCGTCCCTCCTAATACATGCAAAGTGGCTTCTCTTTCCAGAGGTCCCCGAGGTTCCTGAGATTTTGGCCTACCCAGGAGGCATCTCTGTGCAGAGCAGCAGCTTATCAGAGGTGAAAAAAAGGTCCCCAGCCATGCTGGGATCCCCTCTCCCCACGGGGGCACCCCAGGGAGCTCAGGGCTCTCTCTCCCATCCCAGATTGCCCAGTGTGTGAGCAGGAACAGCTTTCCACCCCCCAACATCACCTGGCACAAGAATGGGGAGCAGCTGCAGCCAGAGGATAATAGTGAGTTGGATGGGGACTGGGCATGAGGATTGGGATGGGGATGGGGAATTGCACCTCCCTGCTTGGGAGAGGGGTCGAGGCACTTGTACTATCCAGGACCTTATCTGGAGAATAAGTCCTATGAGGGGAGGCTGAGGGAACTGGGATTGTTTAGTTGGAAGAAGAGGAGGCTGAGGGGAAACCTCATTGCTCTCTACAACTGCCTGAAAGGATGAAAGGAAATGGCCTGAAGCTGCACCAGGGGAGGATTAGGCTGGATATTAGGAAGAATTCCTTTACCCAAAGGGTAACAGTGGAACAGGCTGCCCAGGGAGCTGGTGGAGTCACCATCCCTGGAAGTGTTGAAGAGAAATGTAGATGTGGAGCTCAGGGACGTGAT